TAAAATGAAAGTTTTGAAATCCTAAGTGAAAACTGTGGTAGGACTGTGAGTCTACCAGTAACCAGAGTAGCTCTCTAGGTCCATTAAGAAGTGAATTAAGGAATCAACTCTCTGAACCATTTGTTGGCAAACACAGAGTTGAATGTCTTAGTGAATACAAGATGCTGTAACAAAATACCACAACTGGGTGGCTTATAAACAACAGAAATTTATTGCTTACGGTTCTGGAGGTCAGGAAGTCCAAGATCAAAGCCCTGGCAAATTCAGCATCTGCTGAGGGTTGGGTTAGTAGCTGGTGCCTTCTCCCTGCGTCCTCACTTGGTAGAAGGGAAGAACTCTGTTCTCTTCAGCCCCTTAAAAGGACACTAGTCTTACCTCGAGGGCTCTGCCCTGATGACCTCATCATCTCCAAAGGCCCCACCTCCTTATCCCATGGCCTTGGAGATTAGATTTCAACATGAATTTTGAAAAGACGCCAACATTCGGTCCTTAGCATGGGGTTTGATCAGCTGGAGCGTAAAAGTGAAAAGGGAGTTACAGAACAGGAACAGGAGTCGGATATGGCCGCCATCACAAGTACAAGTAACAGATACAAGTAACCCCAAGCCGTGCTCAGCGCAGGCAGTTTCCACAACTGCACTGGGCCGAGGCGAAGGCGAAGGCTTGGGGCAGGGGTGCCCTTTCCTGACACCCCCACACACACCAGTCCTCATCTGGTCACCACATCTCCCACCTGTCGGACGAGGGAGGGGACAAGGGACAACATAAAGGTGGGTTTGAGAGGAGCGTTAACCCCCATCTGGGAGACGCCTGAACAGATCTCAAGTTCATCTTCCAGTGATGGGGGGTCCCTCCCTTCCCAACTTCCCTCCCCTTCCCCTCTCCTCCCCTGTCTCCATCTGTCACTATCTGGTCCCGGGGGTTCTCAAAAGGAGATTCGAGGACAGGGCAAGATCCCGTGCCGCAGGTTCAATAGCGCCACTTCTTGACCTGGGAGGTGACCGTCGACAGCAGGGGGCGGGTTCTTGTGCCCTCTGTGGACCTACTGCTCCACCTCCTGAGAGGTCCAGAACCGCAGGACCCACCCCCAGAAATGTGGCCCAGGGTGTCCGTAAGACACCAGGTGAGCAAGAAGGGCCGTGTGGGACACCACCCTCCGCTCTCCGTGCCCACCTCAACATGGAGGAGAAGCACATCAGGGCGGCCCCCGCTGGCTCCAACCCCGACACCTGTATCTCTGCAAAGAGGAAGAGAAATCAATGTGTGAGGCACATAAATTTCACAAACATGCCCTGGGGTGCAGCCAGCCTGGTTACAACTCTTTCCTCTCCTTTCGGAAAACGCTGATTACACACCAATGTTCCATGGGCTAATGACAGGTCCGTCTGGTCACCTTAGTACCTCCGGGTCCCTGAGGACCATGGTGTTGGAGTCTTTATTGTCTGTCTAACGGTGCCTCTTGCAGAATTCAAGCCTCCCACTAAGGTAGACTCTTGTTCCCCATGAGTCCAGCTTAGAAAGGGACACTGCTGTCCTTTGCGGTCCCTCCTGAGAACCATTTGGAACTTTCTCCTGAGGTGGGTGACAGAAGGCAGGAGACACCTCAAGGGCTTCAAGGAGACCTTCTCCAGATGGCTCAGGGTGGCTTCAAGTCCATCAGCTAAACACAGTCCCACCTGAGAGGCCGGTGAGGTTCGTCCACCTTCACCAAATACAGCGGCCTGTGCCAAAACAATAGAGATGGGTCTTCTCCTTGCTGCAGAAGCTCCAAGTCCAAGGTCAGAGTGCCAGCCGTGTTGACTTGTGGCGTGGCCTCTCCTCCTGGCCTGCAGATGGCCGCCTTCTTTATCATGTTGCAGAAAGAGAGACAGACAGACAGAGAAAGGGCACACACAAGCGCTGGTCCCGCCCTGGCTCTCGCTGTCTCCCCCAGGCCCCACCTCCACATGCAGCCCCACTCTGGAGTTTCGGGCTCCAGCATGAATTTCGAGGGCACATGGTTCAGCCTGACATCCCCCATGTCACCCCCCCAGTCCCTACCCTGGACCTTCTGTTGTCTCCTTGCCAGGTTCTCGGTGTTCGGCCTCGGCTCCCGGGCCTACCCCCACTTCTGCGCCTTCGGACACGCCGTGGACACCCTCCTAGAAGAGCTGGGAGGGGAGAGGATCCTGAAGATGAGAGAGGGGGACGAGCTCTGTGGGCAGGAGGAGGCCTTCAGGACGTGGGCCAAGAAGGTCTTCAAGGTAATCCCCCCCTCAGAGACCCAGGAGGAGCGCTCCCCTACCCACCCACCCAAAGACAGCACCCACCCCAGAGACAGCACCCGCCCCAGGAGAAGGAGAAGGAGCCCTGGGACTCCAGCGCAGCTCCAGTGAATCCAAGTGGCTTTAAACCACACATTTCCCACCCAGGAGCCAACATGGTACATTATGGGCCGGGAGCGGGTCCACAAACAGAAACGGTAGGGGCTGGAGGTGTGGCCAGAGGTCGAGGGCTTGCCTAGGATGCACGAGGCCCTGTGCTTCTATCCCAGCACTGCAAAAAAAATAAATAAACAAAATTCCAGAGTCTGTGCACACATAACATTGAGTGAAAATTAAAATAGAACTAAAGGTTTCCTGCCGCAGTGATGTGGTCCACTCGTATGGGCTAAGCAGCCCCAGGGCCAGGGTCACCCTCTGAAGTGCAGAGCGTCTCCACCATGGTAGGACCTCCTGCCGGACAGCACTGCCCCCAACACGAGGTCATGGGAGAAGAAATGCAGCAGAGCCGGGTGTCTCAGCATGGGGCAGGACTAACTGGCCATCCTGGGAGCAGGGGACATGGAATGTGGCCCCTGGTGCCTTTCCCTCCTCCTGCACCACCCTGAAGTGTAGCCTATCCACAGCCCAGGAGAAGGAGAACGAGGCAACTCCTTTCATTTAACCGGCACTTCTTCAGAGAACAAAAGGGGAAACTGAGGCCCGGGGCTGTAAGGACTTCTGGGAGGGAGGCCGTGTCCATAAGCCCATCCCTGATCTTCCACCCAGACCAAGAGCTGAGACAGCTTGGCTTTTTTCACACCAAGTTATGAGTACCAGGGGGGAAACCAAGGGCCCCCCGCCAACGAACCCCCCCCCAGCCCTTTCTACTTCATCTGGACACAGAGTCTTGCTAAGTTGCCCAGGCTGGCCTTGATCTCATGCTCCTCCTTCCCCAGCCTTCTGAGTAGCTGGGGATTACAGGCATCACTGCGTCTAGCAATGGTACAGCCCTGGACTTCAGACTGTGGAACTGCTAAATGTTCATTGTACCACAGGATCTTTGTCCAGACTCCCTTAGACCGACCATTTCCTCCCTGTGGAAGGAAGCAAGACCTGTTTAAAGCCACTTTGCCCTTCAGCTACCAACCTCCTGTTCTCCCCTCCCACCCTCCGCTCTAGCACCACGAATCTCAGGTCTGCATCTTAATTTCCCTGTTGTGTTCATTTCATATGAATGGAATCGCATTAATAGGAGGCCTTTTGTGAGTGGCTTTTCCCACTTACCATCATGTTTTCAAGGTTCATATTACAGCAGAAATCAAGACTCTGTCCCTTTTTCATAACTAATATTCTATTGTATGGATATGCCACATTTTATTTATCCCATTTGTCTATTGATGGCTTTTTTGAATGGCTTTCAAATCAACAAGGCCAGACAGTATGAAAAGCTATTCTTGAAAACTTTAATTTTCTTTTTGGCAATGCTGGGGATGGAACCCAGACCTTGTACATGCTAGGTAAGTGCTCTACCACTGAGCTACACCTCCTTGAATTTTATTATTTAAAAAAAGAATTCTGTGGTGGCATGCATCTCTAGTGCCAGCTACTCAGGAGGCTGAGGTGGGCGCATCATGTGGGCTTGGGAGATCTAGACCAGCCCAGACAACACAGGGAGACCCTATGTCAAAAATAAAAATAATAATTTTGAACAGTAATCCTTAGGATCCTTAACGTTGAGGAACAGATGGCTTAGCCAAAACAAAGCAAAGCAAAAATGTGGGCTGGAAACGGAGACCAAGGGCAGAGCATGTACCTACATGCACCAGGTCCTGGGTTCAATTCCCAGGACTGTGAACAGGAAAGAAGAATACACCTTAGGTGTACAGGCCCTCCATACACTCTGATTTTAAGTAACTTAAGAAGTCTTTTGAGGAAGATGAGTGGGAAATTCTATGGCATTTACTTTCTTCTTTAATGCTCAGCCTCCACACATGCTGGTTTTAGAGATCAATGTCACCAGAGTTATAGCTCAAGTAGAGGCTAGGTCCTAAATCCATGGAAAATGTGAGGTGTCCAGCACCTTGCAGGCACTTAAAAAACATGGGGTGGATGGGTTGGATGGGTGGATAGGTGGATGGGTAGGTGGATAGATTGATGGATGATGGATGGACGGACGGATGGATGGATGGATGGGTGGATAGATCAGTGGGGGATGGATGGATGGATGATGGATGGATGGGTGGGTAGATGAATGGACAGGTGGATAGATAGATGGGTTGATGGATGGATGTGGCTTTAAATCATACATTTTCCACCCAGGATGGATGGAAGGATGGATGGATAGATGGATGGATGGATGGATGGATGGATGGATGGATGGATGGATGGATGGACAGGTGGATGGAAGGATGGATGGGTGGGTAGATGGATGGATGGGTGGGTGGATAGATGGATGGATGGATGGGTGGATGTGTGGGTGGATGGATGGATGGATGGACAGGTAGATAGAAGGATAGATGGATGGATGAGTGGATGGATGGATGGATGGATGAGTGGATGGATGGATGGATAGATGGATGGATGGATGGATGGACAGGTGGATGGAAGGATGGATGGATGGGTGGATGGATGGATGGAAGGATGGATGGATGGGTGGGTGGATGGATGGA